TTTTTTAAAGTTTTTTCCATTAATTTTATGTAATTTAATATAATTTTTTTAAATATATACATATTTGTTATCGAAATTCTTGTAAAGTATCTGATCCATTTACATTTTATAATTTAAACAGTACAGATTACAAATAAACAAATTAATACTCAGAAAAATAATCATTTTTAACAAATATTGTGATAAAATCGTACGAAAATATTTAACAAATACATTAATAATATCCTATTCATAACATTAAACAAATAAATAAATATTTTAATAATTATAAAAATGTTACTCCTCTGCAAAATGTTTTTTTTTTGTTTTTTTGCTACTAAATCCTATTTCATGGCTGACTAAATTATATATATATATTTTTGTAGGTAACATTGGAGGGGTTGAATAGTACACTAAATGACATTGATGTGGAAACATAATGACGTCATCAGAGACGAGTCCGCCTGTTAATGTTCCCCATTGTCTGCTAAAGATTGAGTTTTAGTGTGGCAATTCACTGACCTCATTACATAGTACGAGTTAGAAAAATCTTCGAAAATCTTTTAAAAACAGATAATAATAGTAATATCGTCATTTCTAAATTCATCTTTTTTAATGTAAATTTTCCCCCTTTTTTATTTTTATTTTTAAATTCGTTATATAGAGGTTTTGTTCGTGTTTATGCGTTAAAAATATAAGTAACGATACGCGTGAGGGGTGTATTTTGTTTATTATTTATTTATTTATTTATATACGTTGCCCTATATTTATTTATATACAATTTTAATTATAAATTTAAAATTTTATGTGTATTTTTGACGAGTTTCTTACTTATTTTTCTTCGTAGACGTTCAGGATTTATAAGGATAAGTATAGTCCTTTTTCTGTTTTATTTATGAAGTAATTCCGTATGTCAAAATCAGATAGAGCTATTCTTTTCATCCACACCTGGCACTGGCGATTCTTCTCTTTCTTTACGACAGGTTCAGAAACTCTCAGAGTATCTCCAACCATTCTAGTTATCGTTGATCCCTTCTTCATTACAATCCTTTATTGATCGAATTTTTGCCTTTAGCGAACAGCAGAACAAACTACATATAACATCTTTAGATTTTTACATCCGTAAGATTAAATGTTACAGAGTCTTTTAACATAAAAACCATGCAACAACCTCCTCCCCTGAAGTGTGGATGCGATTTTAAGAGTATTTTTTTTCTGTAAAAATATTAATAAATAAATAAAATTTAATCAGTTAAAATTCTTTAAAATTTAATTAATTTTCTTTTTTTTTATTATTAAATTAAAATTCGGGGTTTCTTCCATTCCTCTCCTCTGTCACGGATAGGAGAGGAGCGAGAGCAATTCTCCTATCAGGAAATGACGTTGCCTAATTAAAATTTAAGTAACTATTGAGATATTATAGATTTATTTTCGTTTAAATCGTGCATAAATATTGATGTTATTTCTACAAGAAACCTTATTAAAGCAAAGAAACCCGAAAGAGTTATTTGTCACGAAAAAAACTCTCTCAACAATAGCTTAAGACACGTGACAAAAGGTCACGAAATGTCGTGATCCATGTAAGAAATCACGAGATTAGTGACCTATAAATTACTTCTTGTGCTTCTTTCCTATTTACAATAAAAACCTGTAAAGACCCGTTTAAAAAAAAAAAATTTGTTTAATGTTTACAAAAATATTTTAAATAAAATAAAAATTCTTTCACGTGACCATTACTTCCATTTTGAATATATTTAATAACTTAATTTAGTAGAAAGTAAACGATAAAAGAAGTTTTAGAGGGTAACAAGCAGCTCCATCTTTGAATGAAATTTATAAGTAAATATGTTTCGAGAGGAAATTATATTATAATTTTCTAAAAATAAAATTGCTCTATTTATATAATTTACATATGTAATTAATATAAGTGAGCCTGTTAAATATATTTAAATTAATTACTTATTTTTTTAATATATATATATAAATCAGTAACTTATATAATGAATTAAACACGCAAAAAATTTTGAATTTTATATTAATGTATCACTTGGAACCGAGCCATTTAGTAGATAATGCGCATACCAGATCCTTGTATAGAGGTCAAGATTCGTTATATTAAAATCATTTTACATTAAAAATCTTGATTAAATTGATAAATTTTACCTCATAAAAGTTTATTTTTTTAACTAAATAATCGATAAGTTTATTAAAATAATTACAAAATAGGAAACTTCATCCGTAACTGTATCCTTCTAGATAGGATCAAGTGACTGTTGCTAGAAAATGCTATAGGAGTAAGGGTTACATTATGACACATCTTGTTGACGATTCATAACGAAAATAAAAATATACAATGAAAATAGGCTAACTAAGCATTGAATAAATGTAATTAAAATTTATTCTTTGGCCCCCCTTCTTCGTATAGCTTAAAATTTAGTTAAATTTCTCTTAATAATTTACTGTGCTAATTGCAAAATAAGAAAATAAAAAATGTATATATTATAATATTTTTGCTCTATTTAGTATATATAATATGAAATTTTATATATATATATATATATAAATAT